TTCCTTTGTTCATCATAATTCAACTTTTCTCTTTTTCTTCTCCCTCCTATTCTCCTTCTCAAAGTGTTTCTCTCCACCGCAAATGTCTTTAACATACTCAAAGTTATCACAAGGGAGAACAATAATGATAGACAATACTTTATTGAGGTAGAAGACAATGATTTCCTAAAATGAAGGTAGAACAATGTTTTGCTAGACACGTTGAAACTTAGTTATAAGAACAATAGTGAGGAAATCCTAAAATCTTTTAGATTTGTTGTGGTGGAGCAATAAGGAAGTATTGAAAGCTTCTGTTGCAGAGGATATATGAGAGAACATTATTGTCATGGCAGAGCTTCTAGATTTATTGTTAATCTTATTTGTTTGTTATGGTAAAATTTTTAGGTTTGCTGTGATGGAACAAAATGAATGTTTTAACATACGATGATGGTTATAAGTTTAATTGTTGTCGTATGAACAACTTACAATGACGATTCAAAATTATTAATTTATTAATTTTTAACGACGACTATAACAATGACGGTTTGAAAATCATCATTATAACCTTTTTTTCAACCATTGTAAAATAGGTTATTTGTAGTAATGAGTTTATCTTCTTCTTTTTTATATAGAATTTGTTATATATCGAATCTTATCTTAATTAAATAATTATATTTTAAAAAATTAACAAAAATTAATAGTTAAAATTTTTATTACTTTAATTAAATTAAAATTAACTTAATAAATATTTTTCATAAATTATATATTTCATATTTATTAATATTTTAAAATGACAACTTAAAAAATAATTAATTTATGCATGTAATCAAATTTTTGAATAAAGTATTATAATTTTTTAATTTATGCATGTAATCAAATTTTTGAATAAAGTATTATAATATATAATGATAACAATATTATAAATATTTTATATCTATATAAAAAAAGTATCAAATATTTATTTTAGCTACATATTTTAATATAAATTAAAGTATATACTTAATTAATAATAATAACTAAAATTTTAAAAATTATAGATATTTATTTATATAAAAAAAATAATACATAAAAATATTAAAATTAATTTATTATAAATATAATTACTTTTTAGAAATAATATAAAACAGGGGTCGTGGGCGGAAGAATCCAAAACTCAATAGGAACAATAACTAATACTTAATTTCTAACGTCGATGGAGATTGAGGATAAGACAAATTTGATTAAGAAAGTTGCGGACGTTGTCGGAGAGGTAAAACCTGTATCACCCATTGTCATGTCTAATGGTAAGAAACACCTATATTCAGTTCAAAAGTTGTTTCAAGTACTTTTTTCTTGATTACATGCAAAGTTTAGAATGATTGCATGAGGATCCTAAGGCTTTGCATGTGAGATTTATTCAATAAAGATGAATATTTCTCAATCTTAAATTTTAGTAATGTGTTTAGTTTGTTTATTGTTAGTAGTATTAGACTCCTTGTGAGATTGCAACTTTTTGGATTTTTCTTGGGAGGAGTATAATGAAAAAGATAAAGAAAATCAACGTATTCTAAATCTCACTATAGTGCTCTATGTTAGAAAGCATTAATGAATCGTGGATGCGACTTTATCATAACTGTTGAAACTTAGTTGACTATAATGATATGATCTAAGAGTTGTTTTAAATTTTTGTAAGAGTTATTTTAGATTCTTGAATGGAGAATGTGTATGGTAGTGAAGTTGTGGATCTGTGATGATGACAATTATTAAAATTGAGTTGATGCTATATATTATAAATTATTATTGATTTGATTGAAATTGATATAATGGTGGATTAGTGAATTATGAATTTGATTATAATGGAGTTATGTTGTTATGTCCTTTGAATTTTAGTTAAATTGTAGAGAAAATATATTTTAGTAGTTTTAAATTTTTAATCACTAGTGCAAAAATGGGTTTTTACGTCAGGTATTTAGGGCTTTTTACGTCATATTTAAGACTGACGTTAAAACGAAAGACGTAAATTTACGTCGGACCCTTTAGCCCGACATAAATTTACGTCAGTTATCAAGACCCGACGTAATTTTGTGTTGCATATACCATTAAACAGACGTAAAAACTTTTAGAAATTAAAAAAAAAACAGCAAATTTACGTCGCATATGGTATATGTGACGTCAATTTACGTCGCATATACCAATACACGACGTAAATTTACGTCGCATATTGGTATATGCGATGTAAATTTGCTGTTTTTTTTAAATTGGGTTGATTCTGTTTTACAACTAAAACCTGCAAATATATATTACAACCAGACAGTTCAGAGGTTCAATTTTCTTTAGCTTGTAAATTAAAAATATAATATTATATAATTCAAACTACATAATAAAACAATATAATACAAACATACAAACTAAAAAATCTATTACAAACTAAAAGTTAATACAAACTAAGCTACCTAAACTACATAATACACACAATATAATATGAACAAGAACTTAAAAAATTATGTACTAGAATTGTTGAACGAAAAACCTTGTCCATTATTCTCTAATTTGTGTGATATCATATTCTGGCAATGAAGATGAATCTTGAAATACCTGAAACATTAATTTGACTCTTGTAAACATGCAACACACATAAAGTTAAATAAACTTAACTAATGCTGAAAACAATTACCTTTGTCCAAGAATCAGTTATACCCGCACAAACTATGGCTCTCATCCAATACTTATCATAGTAACCACATTCAAATGAGTCTGTTTGCTTATTACACTGAAATGATGAATAAAATATAATGTTATTTTCAAAATTTAAATACAAACAATAATTATGGTATTCACTTATTATAATAAGTTTCTAATCTTAGGATAAATGAACTGCAAAGTCTTTGTTCGGGTTTTCCACTTAGAACATATAGACACGATTCTAAATGAAAAAAAGTCATATATTATTCAATACCTTTTCCATTTTCACTACCAAATTTCAAAAATTCATCAACTCTCTTTTCGTACTCTTCACTAATACGACATGGATTCATCCAACTTCGATTCATATTATGTTATAAAGTTTCGTCACTCCTAGAGATTCAAAATTTATATTTAAAAATAAATTAATATACAAACAATAAAGCACGTATATGGAGTGTGTAAACCAAAAATGCACTCAAACAAAATAATGACATTCCAATAACAATCCAGTGGAGACATTCATACAATGACGTGATTGAGATCCTCAAAAATAATCACGGATTCAATTTGAACATATATCAGGAGACATAGAACACTAACCTCGAGTAAACACGAAAACGATTTCAAACTCGAATCCAATCGGGGAGAAATGTCAAATTCGTAAAATGAGACACAATGTTGATGTTCTTCACTGCCAAAATGATCGAAAATGGTGTGGAAAGGTAGCTATCGTCGTCGTTCTCATTGTCGTTCTAAAAAACCCTTGCGGCTCGAGATGCGGGAATGGGTATGGAAGAGAATAAAAAGAACTTTTTACGTCACACACCCTAGTACGTGACGTAAAAAGCCTCTTTTACGTCACGCACCCCCCCATGTAACGTAAAAAGTATAACTTTTTACGTCGCGCACCACCATGTGACGTAAAAAGTGATATTTTTTACGTCGCGCACCCCTCACGTGACGTAAAAAGTATCACTTTTTACGTCGCGCACCCCCCATGTGACGTAAAAAGTGATACTTTTTACGTCGCGCACCCCCCACGTGACTTAAAAAGTTCTCTTTTACGTCGCGTTGTACCAGGTGCGACGTAAAAGAGGTTTTTAACGTCACCTCCTACAAAATGCGACGTAAAAGTTTCACCTCTTATTTACAAAATTGCCATCGCGTTTTATTTACGTCGAATATTTTGACATGCGACGATAATTGGGTGACGTAAAATGTCATTTTTGCACTAGTGAATGTTTAAAATTAACAAATAAAAATAATTTTAAAATAACCGCTTATCAAACAAATTCTTTAATTTTTAAAAATTTAAAAACTAAACTATTTTTAAAAGGAGAAAACTACAGTATGTGAAAATGTTTTTGGAGGTAAAGATTTATATGTTCTTAATAGTTGGAGATAAAGATTATTCTTTTGGGATGATGGAAACTCAACGTGGAAATGCAAACTTACATTGCTTCATGTCCTCAAGAAAACTTATTTTCATCCTATATAATAATACTTTAGATAAGGTTTTAGGTAAAGTCTTCCTTAAACTCCAACTCTTAAACTCCAACTCATCACATTTCTTTCAAAGGATAAAAACTGGTTTTCAATATGATGTATTAATAGAATACTTAAATAGCTACGGGATGTTCTCAGAAGCTTAGAGCACAAGCAAAGTATTCATTTCCATTATGTATAAATATTATTCTTATGCAGAGCAGAAATAAAAGAAAGTATACATCACATTATTCTTATGGAATTTTCAGTGATAAATTGATTTTGAACAAAACCCATCAATCACCAGCACTAATCCTTCACGTTAATTTCATATGTTTGGAGATTGTAACAATTCATTCAAATAACTAGGGATGGAATATCTAACAAATAATTAAGAATATTATTTATCAATTAATTATATTAAATTGTATTTGTTGTGTTTTGATAAACTCAAACTCTAAAATTTCTAAGGCAAGCTTGAATTATAGTTTAAATCATTCAAATCTAATTGGGAGATTCATTTTTTGGATTTCTAATAATTATATATTAACAATACAATTTTAATATTTTTTTATATTCTTAAAATAATAAAATAAAATCAACCAATTTTGGATCACTTCCAATCCTTCCCGCAAAAGCTGAACAAAATGATAGATACGCATTAATTGACCATAATAACCCTTGTCAAGAAAGACACGCGGGGCCCACTTGGCCGTCACTATTTATTTATTTCCAATCGCCCCAACCCTTTTCTCGTCTTCCTTCGATTCCCTAATTTCCGACTTCGCTTACGTCTCTCATCATCTCTCGCACACGCAAAATCCAGTTTCCTAACAGAATCGAATTTAAATTTGAATTTCGATTTCACTGTGATGCCTTACACGGTCCGAGAGAACCTTTCGATCGGAAACATCGGCGATGCGGCGGAGATTCTCCAAAAAGATACCGCTCACAGCGTCACGCACATTCTGTCCGTCCTCAGCTCTGCCTCCATCTCCTTCTTCTCCGAATGGCGTCCCAATCTCTCCATCCAGGCCAAGGAAATCACCAAAGTTCACGTGGCGGACTCCGCCGCCGGCTCCTACAAACCGGCGCTCTTGCCGCACAAGCTCCTCTACTCGCTCGAGTACGCCGGCCGCGACCTGAAGCTCGTGAGGATGGCCGTGCCTCTCCGAGACACCGAGAACGAGAACTTGTTGGATTACCTGGAAGTTTGCATCGATTTCATTGAGCGCGGACGGAAGGAAGGTTCCGTTCTCGTCCACTGTTTTGCCGGAGTTTCCAGAAGGTTCTGCTTGATTTAATTTCGTCCACTTTTTATTACTATCATAATTTTTCTTAGTTTGAGGGTTTTGCTTGTTTCTTGTAGTGCGGCGGTTATTACGGCTTATTTGATGAGAACCGAACGTCTATCTGTAGAAGGTGTGAAACCGAAACCAATACTTAAAAGTTATGAAACTGTTCTTTTGAAGCGTGATTGGATAAACGCTAATAATCCACAATACAAAACTTGTTTGTTCATAAGCTTGAAAATAGGCTTATTCTGCCAAGTTTTCTAAAATAAGTTGACAAAAATTTGTTGAAGAAATTATGTGTAGTTATTTTGAAATACCAGATTTAATTATTGATTTGATCTTTTTACCCTCACAATTTGACGGTTTAGTATCTACACCTAAAAACATTGGTCACTCCACATTTACAGATGAATTTTAATCCGTTTTAGCCTTTGCAATCCAAAATTGTTGGGACTAAAAAGAGTTAAAGATGTGTGTGTGTGTGTATGACTAAAATAAGTAGTTCTAGAAATAGAGAAGACATAAAGATTATGTAGGTATTAGATCAAATATATAATTAAACGTAAATATTATTAAGTTAGTTTCAATAGTGCATAGTGTATTAACATCATCATAATCAGTTCAGTATTGTTGTTAAAGGTTAATATATGAGTATTTATTTTGAAAATGGGCTGAGTAGGTATTGTTTAATTTTAGAAGTTGAATGTTCTGTCTCGGACTTATATGTTCTTTTATTTTGTGTGTATTTCTCTGTACTGCAGATGCTCTTGAATCGTTGAGGCAGAGCTGTGAAAATGTTTGTCCCAATGATGGTTTTCTAGAGCAGGTGTGTGTGTGTTAAGGTCTCTTCGTATGGTCGTGCAGATATGTTTTTTTAACGAAACACCAATCATAATTATGATGTTCTCTCTCTCTCTCCAATCATAGTTGAAACTGTTTGAGGGGATGGGTTTCAAGGTTGATCACTCCAGCCCTATATACAAGCGCTTTCGTCTAAAAATGCTACGTATGACTTCTTCTCCTCGACTTATTGTGGCACTTATTATTTTTATAACACTACTTACATGAAAAGAATATAGCAGGTGTCTTAGGTACACCGTGTATTATTTTTAATGTGTATTCTGATACCCTCTTGTTTGTCACTTGTCATCACTGGAATGATACAATTTACATTGTTTACTTTATTTTCAGATATCACCATGCCCATTAAATTTTTAGGAAGGAAAATCATGGGCTAGATTTTCGAGTTGCTTCATCTCCCAACTACTATACAGAAACAACTTTTGACCAAGAAAATTAAGTGTTTAATCTCATTATTTCTTCAACCCTTTGCATGTGTCAACAGTCATTCCTATCTAGTTGTATTCAATTTTTAAGTTAAAATATTCCATATAGCTTCTGTTTCGGTATTATGATTACGCATATTTTGTGCTCATGTCAATCCTTTTTACTACTTTTAGCATGTAAATGAGAAAATTTATGCCATCTGAGGAAAGAAATGTCTCCTTTTTCAGGTGAAAGTCTTTTATCAGGGTTGACGATAGACAGTTCTAAACTAGGTGCAGATCCTGGCATGCTTGTTGAAATTTCTTCTGGGGCAGAAGAAACTACAAAAGTCGAAAATAATCGTAGACCTACATATCGCTGTAGGAAGTGCCGACGAGTTGTTGCATTGCATGAACATGTCATAGATCATGTTCCTGGTGAGGGTGAGACAGCCTTTGCGTGGAACAAACGAAGAGGTGGCAACCCTTTCAACAAATCTAATGAATCTGAGTGTTCATCCATATTTATTGAGCCTCTACGGTGGATGAAAGCTGGTAAGAAAACATTAAACCACAATACTACAATATCTCTATTTTTCTAACGAGCAGTGAATTTATGTCGCACTTCTTATGCAAAACAGTCTTTGATATTTTGAAGTGTATTACCACTTTTTTCTTGCCTCTCTTGGACAATTTACTGAATTGTTTTTATTGACATCTCCTTGCATTTCAAATTATTCGTGATTTAAAGTAACGTACATTTCATGATAATTATCAATTGCGTCAAATTATTATGACAAAATAATCCTCTCTGACTAAAATACTTTTATTAAACGAACTAGAGTTTAGTTATATACTAAGTAAACTATGTAGGCTATATAGTGGTAATAAATAAGGATATTTTTTAATAATATTTTTTTTTTCTTAACTGACAAATATCTTGAAGTAAACCAAGATTCTTAAAGTGACATGTGATTTTAGATGTGGGGAGTACATTTGAGTATAATGGTTATATAAAAGCACATGCAATGTTGTTTGGTGATGTACCGTGTATACTTATAAAGTTATACATATTAATATGCATAGAATTGACAATTCCTTACTGATTTTTGTTGTTACTCAGTTGAGGAAGGTGCATTGGAGGGAAAGCTGTCCTGTGCTCATTGTGATGCCCGTTTGGGATACTTCACTTGGGCAGGCATACAATGCAGCTGCGGAAGCTGGATAACCCCAGCTTTTCAACTCCACAAAAGCCGGATAGACATAAGCCCCATGTAACCCTTCTTTCGCACTTTCTGCATATCCTCATTCCTCAGTAAAGGGATGGCCACTATATTTTTGTCGTTGTTCTTGGACTTGTGTTCTGCCCAAGCTTTCCAAGCTGGTACACTGCATATGAGGTTATGGAAGGAGAAGGATTGAAATCTTGTTCAAGTTTTCCAGGTTAAACAACTGCAGTTATTGAAGGGAGGATTATAGTTTTACATTCTTGTGTTTCTTCCAAAATTGTTTTTGGAGCTTCGATTGGAGATTAAGGATTATGGGTTTCTAGTAAATGGAGAGAAGTTGGGGCTTGTTCCCCCAATTATTTTACCATAAGCAATCATGTCTTTTTCTGGGTAAGAAAATTAGTGATTTCCATTGTACTTCTCTTTTCATTATTCTCAATATGCAATTTTTTTTTCTTCGGTGGTGTGAAGAAATTGGCTACAAGTTGAAACAGACACAAGGATATGAATCTAACGGATGAGTGCATACTCAAAACCTGAATGCTGATATATTTCTTATCTATCATTTCCGTTCATTTTTGTTTTCTTTCGATCATTTCCTATTAGGCAAATGGATAAGAACTTGATTGCTGGGGTTAACAATTAATTGTTGAACGTCTCTGCAAGATGTGCTGGATGTACTTCAATAATAAAAAAATATAAATAGTTTGCTTCTAGTCATAAATCAATCAAGAAATTCAACCAAAACACCGTGGACCCTCGGAATTTCTTGTGCGACACCAATCTACTAAAAACTTAATTAAAAAAATATAATACACGTAGACTGCACGACAGAACTATCCACTTGTAAGTGGATTATCTTAAAAAAAATGCTGTAAGTAAATTTCTTGTCAAATTTTAATTTAGGTTACGGTTTAAAATATATCAATAAAATTTGTATTTCTTCTAAGCTTAACATTATTGATATATTGCTAGTTATTGGAGGTGTTTGAATTTGCCTTTGCATCATTTAACATTATGCTATAACAGTAGTTAATATTATTGGAAGTTAAAGTAGTTTAAGTGGTTTTATGTTAAATTTTTTATACCTACTGGTTTACAGCATAAATCACTTCATTTTGAATTAGTTTTAATCAAAATAAATATTCATAATCATTTTTATAAATTCATTCAGAACACGTAAGATGATCATAAAAAACTTCTTATCCATATGCGTAAAAAGAAAAAATTGCATTGCTAGAATAAAAATAAATAAATATATATAAGAGAATTTATAATAATTTACAAACCTACTCAACCGACTTAGCTAAATCTCCTTTAATTACACTGTTAAAATAGAATGCAAGTATATCTTCGTCAAATAACATGTGATATTTTTTGTATGGAATTAAGATAATAATTATTTTAAGGTGGGTAAATTAGTATAATGCATCAACCATTTTAATATTCATTATCACCTTCCAACTTTTGTGGTGTTCGGATAAATATGTGATAGTCCATTACATATTTTTAGAATTTTTATTCATAGATTTTAAATCAATTATATTCAAAGTTGTTATGTTGTTACACGTTTTGTTCTTGTTTTATATTGATTCATGTATATAAGATCAATTAATAGGTAATTTAACGCAAATTTTTAAAAGAGTCAAAATAGAGTATAACGAAGATGAAGAGTATAAATTTATATTTTTAGTTGATCTTAACTGCATCATTCATTTCTTTAACTCCATTAACTTAGAATCTAAAAAACATTATAAAACAAGAATATTTAGGTATAATAAGAAATTTAACTATTCATTTAATAAAGAGAAAACAAGTTCATTCTTAGGGATAACAATCAAACTCATATTCGATCATCTTCGTCTTGAGGTTGATGGAGAAAAATTGAGTTGATCGGGTTCATATTTTTCTCGTTTTAAGAAATCGAGTTCGGGGTGGGAATGGGTAACGCAATCTCCATCCCGATCATGTCCCGGTCACCGCCCCAACTTTATATTTAAACCTAAATTTTAAAATATGAACATTTTGTCTCTTTAACCGTTTGTTTTCTCTTCTTTTTTTATGTTACATATTAACTTTTGGTTTTCTTTTTTTACATATATTTAAATGTAAATTGTGAAATATAACCCTCTGTCTTTTCACATTATCATTTTTGTCTTCTTATAATATCTTTTATCTTCTCATATTAAATAGTATGTTCCTTCACTTCGCTCTACTTCCATCTATTCTTAATTTCTTTGTCTTTTTTAATCTCTTTTCACAACTATTCTTAGTTCAACTCACATTTGGCTTCTCCTATCTCTTTAACTAGTTTGACTTGTCTAATCATCTTCTCCAATATCTTTAACTAGTTTGTCAAACGCATAAGGTAATTTTTTATTTATTTATCTTTTTCTAAATATGTATATCAATCTTAGTATCATCTTATTTCTAATTTGTTTTTATTATGTTTATGTTATATCATGTTTTCTGGATTTATTATTCTTATTTATCATATATCATATCTTATGTTAATTAAATAATTATATTTTTTTTATCTTTTATGACCAATGTAAGTCTTATTTAAAAAAAAAAAATAAACAGAGGAAAACATGGTAAAGAAGAAAAATATTTAGGCAATCAATAATACATGTCTTGTTTATGGTGGTAGGGATTTTTTTATATAATAAAAAATAATGAAGCAACACAAACAAGTACACAGGAACCATTGTTAAAAGAAAATCCTAACATTGATGGTCCTACTCCTATACCAAATGAAGTCCCACCAGGAGATAATCGGTTTAAAAGCAAGATTTGACAACATTTTTAAAAGATTCAAGTTAATAAAGATGATAAGACTCAGTGCATTATTGTAAGAAACTTTTTGGACAAAAATAAAAAAATGAGATGAAACACCTATGACAATAGAATGATAGTTGTATTCAATTCAAAATTTCTATTAAAGGGAAAAAATGACAAATATTTCTTACCCCTAAAGCTATGCAAGGTAAACAAGAGTTGGGTACAAGAATTTATGACGCAGAGCATGCAAGAAAAGAACTTACACATGCAATTATTATGCATGAATATCCACTTTCAATTGTAGATCATATTGGTTTCAAGAGATACTAATATATGGTCTTCAACCAATTTTTCAAGTTCCTTCTAGAAATACTATTAAAAAAGAAATATTTAAAGTCAACAAAGAAATCAATAATTTTGAAGTCATTGAATAGTCTTAAAGGAAGAGTGACTATAACATCAGACATGTGGAATTCAAGTAATCAACAAAGAGGATATATGGTTGTTACTACTCATTATATTGATGATTCTTAGAACTTACAAAGTCACATCTTAAGGTAACAAATAACTTTCATAGTCATATTTTATATTATTTTTATTTTTGTATGGTAAAATAATTGAATATTGATTAAATTTATGTGAATATTATTATGTTAGGTTCATTTATGTTTCAGCTCCTCACACAAGTGATAGACTTTCCAATGCATTAGTTGAATGTTTGATGGATTGGAACATTGATACAAAATTATCTAGTATCACCTTTGATAATTATACCACAAATGATATTATGGTTGAAAAAATTATGAGTAAATTGCAAATTAACACTTTATTGGGAGATGAAGATTTACTTCACATGCGTTGTTGTGTTCATATATTAAATTTGATAGTCAAAGATGGGTTAGAGATAGTGAAAGATGAGGTTGAAAAAATTCGGGTGAGTGTAGCGTATTGGATTGCAACAACTAAGAGAAAAGAAAAGTTTGAAGACACAAGCAAAACAATTGCGCATCTCTTATACTAAGAGCTTGATTTTAGATTGTACAACAAAATAAAATTCAACATACAAAATACTTGAAATTACCTTAATATATGAGGATGTTTTTAATCGATTGAAGCAACGAGAATCTCAGTATACTTGTTTGCCAATGAGTTTACAATGACAGTTTGTAAATGATGTTCGTGAAATGTTGAAATTGTCAATTTTATAACAGAATTATTTTCTGCTACTAAACATCCATTGTTAATTTGTATTTTCTCAATATATATGAGATTAAATTGACATTGACTTAGTGGATTGCATCTCCGAATGAATTGATTAAAAAAATATTTGAGAACATATTGTTCAAATTTGATAAATATTGGAATGTGATTCACGCTATTATGGGAGTTGCTACTATTTTGGATCCTAGATGGAGTTGCTTGAATATTATTATAAAAAGTTGTATGGTCATGACTACTTTTTACAAGTTAGGATGATTCGTCAATCATGTTAAGACTTGGTTTCTGAGTATCAAATAAGAATTGGAGACGGAGACGAGAACGATTAGAACGGTCGGGACGAGATGGGAGAGGCAAAACTCACCCCGTCCGTTGCCATACCTATTCATTCTTCTCTTTTTGCTAAAACAACTATTAATTATATTTTAATTAAAATAATAGATAAAAAATAATAAATTAATACAATTAAAAAATAAATTTTAACTTACGAATGATATTATATTTTTTATTAAAGTTATAGTGTTAAGTTGTTAATTAATTATTATAATTTATAAGAAAAGATATAGTATAAATGAAGAGTTAATTTCTAATTTTAGAGGAAACATATCCTTCCTACAGAAATTATTACTCTTAAAATAAATAAATGTACCCGTCCTCAAAGGAAATAAGGCTTTGTTATGTAATGCAATGTCACTACCCTTCACACCAATTATCACATAAAAGAGAATTTTGTTGTGTATTATTTACAACATAAACATGATTCTATTAAAGAATTTTGCAAGAGAGAATCACGAGAGTAAGTTATTGGAAAAGGTTGTTGCTTCATCCATATTTCTTCTCGTATCCATGTTAAAAAAATATATATTACTTTTATGTATTTCACGAAATTGTTAATTGAATCAAACCAATTTTTGATTTGTGAGTCTAAAATATATAATATATTTTTTTGTTTAATTTTAGATTAGGCAATTATATATATATATATATATATATATATATATATATATATATATATATATATATATATATATATATTCTTTTAAGTTTTAGATTGACTAAGTCGGAAAATTTTCTAAATCGGTGAATTTACAAATTTTTTAAATAAAAGGAACCAGAATATTATTAATTATAATTTAGAAAACTTTGGAACTCATTTATATGAAAGTTTTTTGGATTTATTCTTTAAAAAAATTAATTTTTTTAAGATATTTGGGATTATTTAATTTGAAATATTATAAGAAACTGTGTGTTATAGATTCATTAAATAAAAAATTTCTATCAATTTAAATACTCCAACATATTTTTTTAAATTACCAATTTTATAAAATATAGACGGATAATACTGTATGTTAGAATAAATAAAAGTTGCCAAAAACTGAGCAGAAAGGAAAGTTAAAAAAAAAAAAAGATTAAAATCCCAAAACAGGCCCAAATCATGTTTCAAAAGAAGCGGAGAGATTTTGGGATCGCGAGTTCAAGACAAAAATTGGAGTTCAGAAAGGTGCTGTCTGTCGATGGGTTTTTCCTTCGGGCTTCCCTGTATATGAATAATTTGAAGTGATTTATGAGTGTATTTGAGGTAATTACCCGCTGATTGAATGAACAACCTTGCCTTCTGCTCATTCATTTTCGTGTGAATGGTTGCATTGTCATAGGTGGTGTACTGGACTTCAATAATACCACCCTCATTTTTAGATTATACAATCTGCTTGCAATTTCTCTTCAAGTTTTAGTTTATTTTTTCAAATATATATATAATTTATCAATTCCTCATATTTTTATCATCATCTTATTGGCTGCTCTTTTGTGTTGCTATAATTGACCCTGTGCATGCATATTTTAATTTTCGCGGTTCTGAGTTAATTTTCAACTTGATGAACCTTCCTCGAAAGAAAATGCATCACCCTAACTTTTAGATTTGAATACATTTTCTTAGCGGGTTTCGCACCTGAGGTTCCTTTGTCTCTCTATTTGCAGAAGTTGGGTGTTTTCCGGATTCTGACTGTTATGAAGGTGTTGTTTTGATTGAATCTGAGCTATAAATTCATCACCAATGGGTTACAAATGCATTCAGTGTGGGTGTCCTGTCAAAACACTTTACGTGCAGTATTCTCCTGGCAACATTCGATTGATGAAATGTGTAGGCGTTTTTTGTTTTATTGAAAAAATAAGATGAAATTCGTGATTATTCATTCTATTTTGTCTTGAATGTCCCAATTAATGAACTGATTTTCAGACCCTTTTGTTTCGTAGGAGAATTGCAAGGCTGTGGCAGACGAATATATTGAATGTGAAAACATGGTGCCTAGTACTCCCTTATGCCACTGGTTTATAAGTTAAAACTTCTTGACAGTCGGTTTGGTATGGGTAGAAATGGTGGGGGGAGAGAAGGGAGGACTGACAAATAGTGTGGGGATTTGAAATCTTCATCATTTGGCCACCAATTTTAACTATAATCTTATATAATTGATTTTTCATAAGGCTACAATCCATTGTTACACTTTAAAATCGGTTAATATTTCAGATGCCTATAACCTATGATCTTCCTCCATGTTTATGGTGGTAATAATCGATTGTCTTTCTTTGAAAATGATTAATAAACTTTATTTGTATTTGTCTCTTTACTATTTCTGTCAAATCAGAAACCCTTAAAATCCATCTCATTTCTCACTTATTTTCATGCACACTGTTTCTCTTTTTTCTATTTACATCTGCCCTTATATCTTCCCTTCCTGCCAAATGAACCCTTAGTTTTTTTGTCTTGAGATGACCCTGTTTCCCCTTCCCCTTTGCAGATTCTTGTAATAGATTTAATACTTCATAAGCCCAAGGCCTATAGACATCTCCTCCACAATGTCATCAATCAAGAAACAATGAAGTTTCAGGTATGGTTGAGTTCCTCTATTATTCCTCCAGCACTACCATAATGTATAATTACTTATCATGTATCATTAATGATCACTAAATTATTTTTACAGTTCTGAATAGTACAACTATGATTCTCTTTTTAAAAAAATTGGCAATCAAATTATTTCAGTTAGCATCACTGCTGACATTAGTGTATAATGAGCAGTCGTAATTTAGTTGTCTGATAATGACAAACAGGAAGCATTTTCAGTTTTGAACTATATGTAGAATCTCCAACAAGATTTACATTGTTAGTTTGGGGAATCCTAATCTTAATATTAAAAATATATCATTTTGGTATATTCAAATAAAAAAATTATGCTTCAGTTGCTACTTGCATTTTGGACCTATCAGGTAGAACTTGAATAATATGCATTGTTCTGTCAGAGTGCATTTTCTAAATTAGTCTTCACAGTATAATGATTTTAATAACACATGCTGATAAAATTCATTTTAACCTATGGCATGTAATGCTCAGAATATCGAGATCCAATTTATCATCATTCTTTACTTGTATTCTATACTCCTTCATTTTTACCTTCCAACACTAATAAGCAGATACTTACCATAACTTTGCAGGGACTACTCTGGAAATTGGCTGTCATGTTTCTTCTCTTTGAAGCTTGTATGCATTCTTTTGTGGATATCATTCTTTTTAATGCTTAAGGAGTATAAAATCATAAATTTTAGCTTTTGTTTTACTTTTACAAAACCATATATCACATAGGAGGACTTCACTGTTTGTTGAAGACAGATGTTTGATCTTGGAAAAGGGAAAACTGGATTCATCAATGAGCGTCTCTTCATTAGTATCAATATGCTGGAAGGTTCAGATACCTACATTTAAATCACCCTTTTTAGTCTGGATTTTTATATCAATTATGATGAATGTTTTATGGCTTTCATTGTCAGGTGCTGACGGATGTTTTATTTGGGAACTTTATGTTTCTTTTAACTTTCATCTTTATGATTAAGATATTTTTCCATGTATCAATCACCATCTCCAGGTATATATTTTTTATTTATCTGTCATACCTTGTAATGAAGAAAGGACAATTAGTTTTACAGAAATAAGTAACAATCTGTTTGTTCTTTTAGCAATTTGAAGAAAGATTTAATTACAAAATTGTTGGTTAGGAGAATCTCACGAATCTATCACAGTTGTGAAATTTTGTGTATTTTCATATAGATATGATGAGGAGAATTGCTTTCAGAGTCTTGTCTATTATGAGTATGAGTTTAGAAACATTGCTGTGTGTTGAATTGTTAAATGTTCAGAGAGATTTAAAAAAGTAATTTGGTAAAAAGAAGAAACTGATTGTATTAAGTTACAAGAGTACAAATCTGGCGCGTGTAGCCACTGCAAATGTTTACAACTGAATTGACCGCCTTAGGACAGTTTTTGCTGGACTGCTGTAAAACTGTCTCTTGTAATGGACTAGCATTTTATACTCATGCCCGAGAGATAGCGACCATAGGTTGATAGACCTAATAATGATAAGCAATCAAGTTGTATCTTTTAACCCTTGTAATTAATGGGAACAGAAAAGATAATGCATGATAGGTTATGGACTATTTTTTCTTGTTTGAATGTTATGGATGTGTAATTTTTTTTGAAAAAAATTTCTATATTTCTACCATATCTGTTTGATGCTTCTGGACCATCATGATCACTTCAGCTTAAATTATCCATGTATGCAGGGGCATTGACCTTTTGCTTATACTAATGATTTCAAGTTACTTCAAGATGTTTCTTGTTGCCATGATGGTAATATTTGCACTGAGGAAATCTAAGTTGGTTCTTTTAGTTTTATTGTTGATCACTTTCTATACCTGTCTAATGTCTATGATGTTAAATACAATGCATGTCTTTAACCTTAAAGTATGTCCTTGCTATATAGGTCTGGGAGTTTCCATCTTCAGTGATCTTCATCATTGAATTATTTTGTTTATCATCTAATTCTGTTGCATTGAAAGGTTAGTAATCTGTTACTGAATCCATGGAGAAATCTGTTATACTTATTTAAAATGCAAGCCCTGGACAACTGTTTGATGCCTCAAATCATATTTTGCATTAGCAGTTGTTGGATTCAAAGAAAATTCAGCAACATCTATGTAGACTTGATCCTCTATTGTATATTTCATCTCCAACTTTTATAGAAATCATTTTCTGCTTAGGTTCGTTCAGATACACGGTAGTAGAGTGTATTTATGTTTTAGTTTGAATAGCCAGTGTTAGTAATGAAATTAATACGTGTCTCATACAAGAATTAAGTTGGTGAATGAAATAAAGATAAAAAAATATTATTTGAGTGTTTCACCTAACATGGGATTGATTATATCACTTGGATTGACAACTCAGCTGTTATTCCGGGCTATTGCCTGGAATGGCATAAACTAAATAATTCTATGATGCAAATAATAATTTCCTTTCCAATGTTTATGATCTAAACAAGTGTCCACGTATCAAAACTGCTTTTGTTTTGTTCAAGTGCTACCATTTACCTAGCCGTAATTGTGATTGTTTTGGAAAATTGACTCTAGGGTTACTGCTTGCATTTTAAATAATGCTTTGAGCACTGATGAAGTTTTTTTTGTCAACTAGTGATGACTGAGTCAACTATAAGTCGTTGTGTTTGGACCTGCTTCAGTGCATATGCTATAAAATATTTGGTCACTCGGATACTGGAGCTCATGTTGTTGGGGCAATTGATGCAAGGCTGGAGTCAAATGTCATGCTCATTCTTTAAAGCTAGCATGATTTAGTTTTGCATTCTCGTGTTAATGAATAGTAAAGTTTCGTAGCAAGTTTTGTATTCTGAATAGGAAAGCTAGCATGATTTAGTTTTGCATTCTCATGTTAATGTCATGCTCATGTTCCTTGCCATTTTTTTATTTCTTAAATTTAATTTGAAGCTCGAACACTTCTAATGTGCTTCTGAACGTTGTCTTGTGATGCTTTCTGAAGTTTAGTCATTCCATTGCGCAATGATCATTCATTTCTTGACTCCTTTTTTACTCCTTTTTGTAGTCATTTTGTAAGCTTTAACTAGATTTTCGTTAACCTATAACATTTTCCAGACATGATTTGAAATAACATTTTGAGCTTCTACCCTCTTTTATTTACATTTTTACTTTGAATACTAAAAAGTTTCATTTTGGACTTTATTAAATATCGCATTATTTATTTTAATAAAGTATCTACTTCAACACTATGATTTATCTCAATTATTACATTATCCATATTATTTATTTTAAATTTTCAATAAATAGTTAATTGTTAAACAATAATGTTACTAAGTTTTAAAAAGGATAAGAGTTTAAAACAAATTAAAAATTTATAACTATAACTATGTAAAAGTGTACTTATGTTGATCAATTAAAAATATATAAAAATTATATCTTCTTCATTGTATTCAAAGTTATTTGAAAGTTAATTATATTAATAATTTATAATATTTTTATTTTAAGAAGTCAGATAGATTTCAAAAATCTTAAAAATTAATTTTTCAAGTTTTTTGTCAACCGAGTTATTTTTACTAAACATAGCCTAAGCTTTTCAAGATAATTTTTCCTTTAAAAGGTCCTTGAATCTTTATGCGAAAATGTTCGTACATCAAGTTTTTTTTCCTTTTTTTTTACATTAGAATAACTTATTTTCATGGGAATGTTTCTTGTATTGTGTTACAGTAAAATAAAAATATTTTTTATTTTGAAAAATGTCAAATCTTTGAAAGTAATAAATGAGTAGATTTAATGCTTTTCATTATTTTTCCAAGAAACTAGTCTAATTCAGTGTTTGAGTTTTCAAAGGTTCATTCTGTTTTAGTTATCGCGATTGTGTTGTACCCAACTTAATTTTTTTTATATATAAAGTTAATGATTAAAATTACCAGCATTTATAAATATAAGGATTAAAAGGAAGGCTTGGGTTTTTGAAAAATGTTTACAAAAAAAATTTGCTGGCATTTCTCTGAATGTAATGATACCCGAGAGACCATCTCAACCGTACACACTTTGGGCATGGAATGCATACAGTCACAAGTCAACATCGGCGTATAAATTGAGTAAATAATAGTATTAATTTCCAGAATAAAAGCTTAATTTTTTTTCACCCAATTTTCTGGGACACAATTATGCTTAGGGATGGCAAAACGGGCTAGGCCCGGCTGGCTGCCAGCCCGCCATAATATGATGGGGCGAGTTGGTGTTTTCAGCCCACCAGCCCGCTTTGGCCCGCCCGCCAAGCTCCGCCAACCCGTCGGCCAACCCGCGGACGGGCGGGCCAGCCCGCGCCCGCCTAATTAATAAAAAAATAATTTTTTATTGTAATAAAATTAATTATAAAGATAATATATAAAGTTAAAAATTTTAAAAAGAGAATTAAAAAAGTTTCATTCTCACAGTAAAATATTCTCCTTCCCGAAATATAACCTTCTCTCCTGTTCTCCTTATTTATCCTAAGATCTGATTATATTTATCCTTATTACTTGAATTAAAGGTATAAGAATTACTCAACCAAGTATAATATAAAGTTTTATCAAATAAAAAAGATATAGGTATTTGAATTTTTTAATATAAATTTTATAAGTTTAACGTTATTTATATATATATATATATATATATATATATATATTTGTTATTATTTATTATTATGTAAATTTTATTATTATTCTAAATTATAATTTCTTAAAATAATATATTGATTTATATTATTAAATTGAAATAATATATATATATATATATATATTGAATTATTAACCAACAAATAATAATCTTATTATTAAATTTATTAAAAAAAATTATTTTTTTTAAATTATGGCTGGCCAGCCCTGCCTTGTAGAGCGGGCTAAGGTCTACAGCCCGTCATGACTATATCGGGCCAGCCCACCTCGCCCCGCTTTTGGCGGGCCAAAGGCGGGACGGGCCAAAACGCCGTTTTGCCATCCCTAATTATCCTCAATAATTTTCAATATTACGATTTTCTTTTTCTGATTTATTAAGTGTGGGGGTTGGAGGATCCACAAGAAATTTCACTGTAGACATGCTTTGAATAAAAAGCATAGAAGAACCTGAAACTACAAATATCTGATACACAATTCATAAATGTGCGTACTTTCAATATATTGCAAGTAATTTTGTACAGGATCCTAACTCATTTGTCTATCAATGCCAAGATTCAAGTTAATGTGGGAAAAATGATCCTGAGAAAGGAGGGAGTCCTTGAGGATGATATTATATATTCGAATCCCTGAAGTTCACATACATCCTCACATCATCATTAGTGAGTTTCCAGTCCTTCATGATTAGGATTTCATCTATCATCAATCAACTCAGAACAATTAGGCTCTCATTTACGTGCAACATTTATGGAATTAGTGAGACTGTGCCTCCAATAGGATGTTGGTAGCCACATTGACATCATTTCTGGCCTGCACCAGGGCTTGTCTGGCAGAATTCCTGTCAAAGCCCATCGAGACAAGAGTAGTGATGGAGTCCTCCGATGGTTCTACTGCAGATTGCATTGGAGCAGGGTAGTTCCTCTGCAGGCAAAAGATGATACATACTAATTGTCAAAAAGAATAGTGTCCTATATATTCCTTCTAGGAATGTTGTTGACACATTACATAATAGACCACGTCATCAAATTTCATGACAGCTTGCTTTGATTAGAAAAAGTTGAGCCACAGCTTGGTTTATTACACACTAACTCTAAGGTTTAGGGTTTGGGTTGACAAGAATAATAATAAGCCTGACTTGAGCCTAGCTTGTTAAGAAATCCAGTCTAGCTTTTTGGTTCAAGCTCGGCACATTTCTAGCTCATAAGCCTACTTGAATGTGATATATCAAACTCAAATCCTACAACCAATAATTTTTTCTTTAATTTTCATCTGTTTTGATTGAAAAAAATTCTATTTAATGATGCAAAAAGTAAAATCAAACACAGACAAGCTATGAACCGACCTTAAGAAAACTCAACCTTGATTTGACAAATGCACTGATATTTTCAAACCAAGCATAGTTCATCAACTCATGAGCCTTGCATGCATGGTGAGATGATGAATCAAGCCATGAATTTATAGATTGTAGCGAGCTAGCTTAACTAATTTCTAGCCCTTACAAACTGTAACAAGTTCAGTTTGCATTGAAGATACTGGAGGACCAGCTGCAAATGATTTGACAGAAGTTGCAAGCTAATATGCATACGAATACCTCAATGTTAAGTTCAAAAGAGAATTGGCATCATTTGTACTATTACCTCATACACATACCAGCTTCAAATATCATGGCAGCATACAAAGCTGATGGGGTGATCAAAATAAAAGATGCATAGCTGCCTAAAATATGCAAATCAAACCATAAAAGAATTACGGCGTAAAACTTGCCTCCATTTGGCGAGTTGGATAGGAAGGTAAATTCCCAACTACATTCCTTGTTGATGATGCTGCACTTGGACTCCCCATAGATGGCAATGTAATTCGTGAAAAGAATGACGTGATAAACTCTGGGAACTGCAGTGTAGGGTCACATAAGTAAAACAAATAACAATTTCTCAGTAAGCACTCTAGGTAGTATAATAATATACTGCATACTGTTTAAAATTTATACTTTCAAATCATGCGAGGAGAAGTGTAAAAGTGGAAAAACAAGATAGTCTAAACTTAAAAAAAATAGTTCTTTATGGTATTGCACTTCACAATAATAGAGGAATGAAATCAATGTACTGGACAAACAAGACAAGTACGAATATACTTCATACAGAAGACTTGCATGCAGAGACCATATCGATATCTAATACCTACACAATACACTGAATGCAGGAAACACATTGTGGACACATATTGATAGTTCGACAAAGTCTTAATTTATTATCACCATCCACTTCAAAATAGAACAATATCAACAGCTAGCATTTGGTTTACAGATAAACTGGCAGGCAAGCATATAATCTATAACTCCTATAAAATTTCCATGAAGATTCACCATGGATTTGTTAAGTTGTGTAAAGCATTGTAAGAATGATAAGTTCCAATGTTTTATCTTAAAGCTGTGTTAATCTTAATAAAGACAGTCAACTATTGCCACTCATAATTAATTCTGTTTGGTTTGCTCGTTTAATGGACTTCACACATTCCTTGATAAATTGACTTCCCAATTAAAATCAGTGATCATTCTTGGATAGTAGTGCATAACAGCAAGCCCTTAAACACAAGGGTTGGATAGTGAGTTGCAGGGGGTAACTACTATTACCATTCTAAAATTTTGGGATGCTAATTAAATAATTTATACCATATATAAATGCTAAAAACAATACCCAAAAGCAAGACACCTTCATAATTAATAATCGAAATGATAACAGAGCAGTGCCATGGGAATAGAAAAGAGCACTGTCATGAGGTTAGACTGAAACTCCACATCAACACCGGAAATGTCACCAAATGAGACACCAAACCAGAGAGCTGTCACAGAGAAAGAGAACAAAACAAAGCAAGGTCATAGAGTGAAGGTTGGGACTTGGGTGTCACCAGAAAACCACAGTAGATGGGTGGCTTTGTCGCTCGGGCTGCAAAGTAGAGACAGAACTACAGAACAGAGAGGAGAGGAAGTGCCAAAAAAAAGGGGGGGAATGTCATGTTTGCCTTCAAAAAAACCCTCAACATGACTTGGTTGAAGTAAAATTGGGTATTCGGTGAGTCTTTCTTAAGCAGCACTATAGCACTGCAAAATGCCATATTCTGGGTTGTGAAAATGGCCACATCATCCGCACATGAAAAGCACTCCACTATTGAAAATGAGGTAGCCAATAGCCACTCCGCGATGCACTGTTACAAAACTGTGCTATTGATAACAGCGGCTAAAGCACAGATGAAAATCTTGCCATCACAAATTCCATATAGTTGGCGACACAAACAGGCATTTCAAGTCTGCACCAATAGTCTAATACTAGAAAGATTTTAAAATTGGTTTTACCTCAATGAAGCAAAGTTCAAAGCAAGCATAACATGAAAAGTGATTTAAATCAATCTGGCTATAGAATCATGAGTAATTAATACTTTTTCGTGCAGAATTTTGAAAATTTTAAAATACAATTATGTGATTATATGTATGAATGTATGTACATATATGTGTATGTGTGTGTAACTCAGTATAGAAGGTGCTTGATAGGATACTCGAACAAAAGATAATAGAAATAAAAACAACAGAAACCCAAAAGCTCCAGAGATTGGAAATGGTGTTCGCTCTTTCTTTATTGCTGGAAAAAACAGAAAAAATGCATACAAAGGAGCTCTCTTCTTTCACACGAGCTAACACTCGTTTCCAATTCCAATTTCTAAACAGACGTGCTCCTAAAAGGATCAAATTAGTCTAATTATATAGAACCACTCTCAACTGACAGCACCGCACCCACTAACTTTTCCACTGCTTTCTTTATTCCCTGCTTTCTTTATTTTTTCTTCTATAATAAAACTTTCCAGACCCCCTCATTTTTTCCTTGCCTCTCACTGCTTAAATAAAATTAAGCACCAATTGTATTGGAAATATCGATATTGCATGCCAAATTTTAGAAACATAATTGTATGTTGTGTATGGATATATAGATATAACTCTGCATAGAAAGCCACTTAAACCAACCTCATAATTTAATTATAATTGCTATGTTGATCTTGCTCACCAACTCTCTTAAATTCAAATAACCTTGCGGGATCAAAAAAAGGTGGTATGAACTTTTCCATGAAAATTGAAACTTTTGCTAATCTTAAGATACATCAAATACCAAAACCCCATGCGAATGATGGACATTTCCAATCAAACAGTGAAACTGATGAAATATTCATTCTAGTAAATGGGATTAATTCAAGTATGATTGATTGTGATTAAAAAATGAAACGTGTCACAATGTATTTATAATTTTATATAGATATCTTTCTTGGGGAAAGCTTGCATCCATAAGAAAAGGTGAACATATTACAGGTCATAATTGCCTGGATATAAAATAAAATTTGAAAAAAAAGAAAAATGAATATCAGACTTAAATTTACCTTTGCTTTGCGGATGTAAAAGACATTTAAACGGTACAAGGAACCAGCAAGGATGCCACACATTCCTGGTAAGATGGACCTTTTCCATGATGACAAAAGAAGCTACAACAGTTTAAATTAGTTTTCAGACACTGAATGATTCTAGAAATGCATAAGTTATTTAAGCGCACCCATAAATCAGTTCAACAATACCTGAACGCCAGCTAGATATATGAATGACTTGTCCGAGAAGAAAAAGCTAAATACACGAAACCGTGTTGAAACTGGAATGTCAAAGAAAAAGGGCACAAATGAAGCAAATATAAGGCCATATGGTCCAGGTGTGACTAGGTTTGCTGTAGGATCTGCAAAGAGTGGAAATAAATCTATCAAATTCTTACATAATATGTATGTTCCATTCGCCACTATAAAAATTAAGCCAGGACATTCAGTATAATTCAACATGCATACAAGTAGGAGTACAGATGAGAAAACTATTAGTGAACTATTCGAGTTCAGCTTGTTGAATACTTGATCAAACTTGTTTGTTTTACAAAACTAATAAGCTTGACTAAAGACTCAATTATATATAGATCAGTAAAGCTAAACTTTGAGCTTAACACAAGAAGCACATGCTTGTGAGTTCATGTGTTTGTGTAATGATAAAACAATTCCCATCTCCAGTCATAAATTAATTTTAATTAACAATGTCACAAATTCAATTTTTATTCTAGAAATGTTCATAGAATTAAATGATTTAAATTGTGGTTAATTTAAATGACACTTACACATAATTTAAAGGATAAATTTTTTTCAACAGAGAACGAATTATATTGTTAATAGCCCAATGAATACATCCACTTTCTCAGGAAATGAGCGAATGTCTCATTAATAGACTTCACAATAAACTAAGGGTTTCAAAGAAAATTAGCAATTCAAACTTTGAAAGTGAGCTTATGTTTATTAGGACCAAAAAATTCCTCTCATTTGTTTTGTTTCTTGTATAAAATAACAGAGGTACGTAGTATTAATTTTACATGAGAAAACTGTGAACTTAGAAAATTGCGATTTTATCTAAATATCATTTCCTAACTTCCATGTCTAAAGATTCTTAAACTCGTTTTAATTGATTTTTGTTTCATCTGCTAGCACAAATTATTTAATTAAATACTAAATTACTAAACATAAAAAATTATTCAAGATTTGAATAGGAGAACAAAATTAATCACATCATAAATGAGTTAAATAAGTTGAGCTCAAGTTTCACATTATTAAATAAGTAGCACCCAAGCAATAAATTTGACTACTTTAAAACAAAATAGTCAATCCTATGCATCATATGTTTTTGCAAGCCAGACTTTGGGGTTTAAGTGCCCAGATTTAAATTGAGACTGAAAAGTATGATATTGCCACAAGCCAAATCATCTACAATAAACAAGTAATATGTTTCACAGTTTTCAAACTTCTTGATGGAGGATATCATAATCATGTCTGTGGAAACCAGCTTCAAGTATGAAGATTTGAAGTAGAGTCTCAGGTGTCAAGATTTTGTGCTTGGACAGATGAAGTATACCTAAAGAAGAAACCTTTTGGGCCTTCCAAAGGATGACTTCTCAAATAATGATGATTTGGTATTTACAAGATTGTCAATTGTCACAATACTTATGATATTAGAGCCAGTCAGTTACTTTGAAAAATAACAAAGTGGAACTATGAGTATGCCTTAGAATTATCTCATTTCTAAGCACCCCAACATGTGAACGCCCTTGAGCTTGGAGAGGGAATAAAGCATGAACCCACAGCTGGAAATCAATTCAAAATAAAATTGAAGCAGGAAAGGAAATCCAGACTGTTGATCAAACAAGGGGCTGTACCCTGTCAATGACCTATTAGAATATCTGGAAAATACCTCATGATCAATGTTGCATTATACAATACTTTGGTGTATTTTAGATGAATTTGGCTCCTCTAATGTAATATATGTAAAATGAGAAAGTGAGGGCTTATCTATCATTGATTGAAATGTATTATGTTTACAAAATGCTTTTGTTTAAAATTAAGATGGATGTTTCTTACTATCTAACTTTACACGTCTCCTCACTTAGAGGAGGTAAATCCATTTTAGATGATTTCTTGGGAGTTGTTTTGATATTTCATTATATTGCACGAATTGATTCAAGTTTAATAATGATTAGGAATTCAATACTAGTATACGCATAGGTTAGTGCACTATATTTTGCAATACAACCTTTAAAACCATATGTCAACATAAATTTATTATTCTGGGCACTGCTTCTCTCTTATTCCTTCCCTACTTCAAGCTGAAGTGATCACTAGGAACAACTATCTCAAAACCTTTTCATTAGCATGCAACGCCAAGAGCCCTTTGAACTACTAACTATTTTTTAATACAATTAAGTGGCCATCAATTGGATGGCTAGCAAACAATTATTACGGTAGACTCAAGGTTATCGGACTTAAGAGTCTACGTGGACTCATGGGAGATATGTAGACTCAACTCGTAGACTCGTATGAATAATTCCAATTTAACAAAAAAATATAATGATAATATCAATTCCACATTATTGAAATAAATAATCAAAATAAAAAATTAATTCAGTAGGCAATACAGATTAAAAAAAATTATACCAAAATTATAACTGAGATGAAGAACCTGAAGCACATGAAATAAAATCCGTGAAATCTCTAATCCATATGAAGAATAACCCTAAAATCCATAATCCCTATCCAACCTTTGTCCGGCCAGCAGACCAGTGAGTCAGCGTTGACCAACGAGACTAGTAGCAAGCTCAACGAAGACCAGCGGCAACTTCAACAGTGACTAGCATGTAGCACGCGACAGCAACCAACAATGACTTCAACGAGTGACCAATGTACAGTGCGCAACCAGTGAGCAACGCGCAACACCAACTAGCGAACAGCAAACAATGCGACCAGTGCAGCAGCAATGACGATAACCAGCACAGTGCAGTGGCAAGCGGTGAGAAGGGACGAGAAGTGCGAAAAACAAAGAAACCGCAACGCAGATCTAGAGCTACTATTCAAAACCTACATAAGTGTTGTTTTTCTCCAAACTCGATCACTCGCCCTCACCCGTGAGTTTGCTGAGAGTCCATGGGGTTTGAGTTCGAGTCTACCCACGAATTAACTCGTAACCAACCACTGGACTCACTAACTCATCTGAGTCAATGAGTTGACTCGCAAGTTTGATAACCATGGGTACACTTCAAACCCGTTTACCCTTTAGAATAGAAAATTATACCAAGTTGATAAGTATTTTGAAGTAAAATAATCACATCATGAGCATGTTTGGGACAGCTTAAATTCCAAGATTTCAGCTGTTTATTTGGAAAAAAGGTTGTTTGTAAAATATGTTGTGTTTGGGATGATAGCTTAAATTTGTAAAACAGCTTCGTTTTTTCTACAAATAGTTGATTTCTTGCATTTGAAAACTTGTAGCTAATAATTAATTTTTAACAACATTTTTTTTTCTTTTCATTCATACACAAATTTTCTTATGAAAGTTCATTTTTTTTTATCCAAAAAATAATGATCTTAAAATCACTTCTCAGCAAACTTACCAAACAAAAAACTGATTCTGATTATAATTTATTATAACAATAATCGATTATTGACATAATTTAATCTTCCTAGCAGTCCAAACACACCATGAGGCTCATTTTTGGTGGTAAATAATTAACCTAATTGATACAAAAACAATTTCATAAAATAGTAATAGATGTAGGAAATAAATAATCAAACAGATCTGATAGAAAAATACAAAAATGTCCTGAAATTCCTTCACCTGATGATACAAGCTACCGACACAAACAATGACTCTCATCCTAAATCAAAAGAAAATAAAGTGCTTTGAATAACTTGAAGAATTAAAACTTTAAAACCTTGTTTTGAATATTACAATATTAACCCTTGTGTGATAAAACTTCAAATGAGAAACTGAACTTTATCGTCGAACACAAACAGAAACTCTTGTTTATCACCAATATGGGCAATGTCAAGCAGCTTGCTTGGTACTGAGGATGGAAGGCAACAAAGAGATTTAAATTAAGGAAGTATGAAGTTATATTGTCATTAACATCTCATCTAAGGGGAGTTTCCGATAAACAGTCAGCCATGAATGCTTCTATATGTATTCTTTTATATATTGATATTAGAAAAAGGTCACCAAATGTTCAAAACAGTCAAGAGATGAGACAAAAAAATTGACATGGAAAATTCATCACGTAAACAGGCATGACATGCACAATCAAAAACATTAAGCAAAATAATCACAAAAAAAAATTAAATACAAAGATTAATAGAATTTAAAGAGAGAAAAAATAAAAACATATGAAGATCAATATCAAGAATATACCTTTTAAAAATGCTACAGCAAGGACCTCAAGCAGTAGTGAAGTTAATATTGAGAACATGATAAATACCTGCATAAAGGACGAACATAGATATTTGAAACCACAAACAACATATACAGCAAAACATCCCACCCCCTCTACTATGTGCACATGAATATTTGTTGTAAGGTTGTCATGCAGATGGAGAACCAATGATGGAGGTAGGTATGATATTTCAAAAACGAACATAGTATAGCATTGACGCATCAAGGCACACGTTGATGATAGATAGGTGGTTATTTTGAACAGAGGACAATCGTGCAAATCAATCTAACAAAACATGTACCTTATATTTTATTAGCCAGAACTTGGTTCCAAAAACTATATCTAGAGATGGAACAAAGGCTCTTGAATGTACAAAAGACCAATTACTTACGGAGTATTTATTGGAGCCTATCTGTCTTTCAAAGACTCTGAAATAATATAGCAGATACAATCCAAAAATCAACTCTGGTGTTGATGAGAAGGAAAATATGGACATGATCAACTTCCAAAGGCGAGGTGTTCCAAAAATATCCTGCCAGAAAGAGAAAAAAGCAGGTTAATGCTGCATAGTTAATGCACAATAAGTTCAGCTCTGGGTGAGATATTACACAGTTCCAGTGCTTCAGTGTTTAAACACTCTAGAAAACAAATGTCGAACAAGTAGCATTCATTCTACCACTGGATTTCTCACTCGTATCATTTTCCCTAACTACAATTCCTAGAGAAATAATGAAAATGAATCTGAAGCTCAATTTTAAATCAATGGAGGTTTTATCTCGTGGATTAATCTATATACCCTTATCATCCCAAGGTGACATGTTATGCCAGACAATTTTAAACAAATTCAAACAATTCCCCCAAAACCGCCTTCAAATTAATTTAGGATCAAAATCAAAATTTCAAAACCAGATGACCGACCCAATTCACTGAAACACATGAATATCACACATAAAACCTATTTACACATTCATAAAACAACACATTGTACCTAATCACCAATTGCTATACAAAATTAAAAAATAACGAGAAATTAAAAAGAAAAGGCAAAGGGGCACCTGATAAGACAACCCCAGAGTGCCGAAACGGCCTTGGATTCCAAAGAAGATTGTGAAAAGTGCCGAAGCGATTATGAAAGCCCTTGTGACAGGAGCATTTGCTGTGAACACACAAACACATATCAGAGCACGAATCAAAAAGGGAAAACTTTAACACAAAAAACATAAAGGGGTGTTCGGGGTGTTAAAACGAACACCCCAGATGATTATTCGGCTCGCGAAAGAGAATTGACGCACTGAAACCAGATGGGCCTCCGTTCATCTTCGCAGTGAAGCAGAAAGTAACGACCTTTTTCCTCAGAGTGTTTTTGGGGTTTCTTGCCTTCTCTTCCTTTTTATGTTTTGCTTCTTTGTTGAGTTTTTCTCAGTTTGGTTTATAATGAATAAATTAATTTAATCATTCAATTAAATTATAATATTATTAATGAAAAACAAAAAAAGTGGCTGAATGACTTCTTTGGAATCTTCTCTTCCGTCTAAGAGCCCCTTTCATCACAGAATTAGGCGGCTGACTATTTTTTTTAAAGTGCAAGTAAAATCAACTTATTTTCAGAATGTATATATTTTTCATATCTATTCTTGTTATAATATGTTCTTACGGAATGGTAGAGTTCGAAAAGAGGCTACGAGTTGAATTAACAAAATAGATTAAATTCTCACTTACCACTTTAATATATTTTTATCAAAATATAAAATTTAAAAAGAGGCTACAAATTGAATTAAGAATATAGATTAGATTATGAGTTACGATTTTAAAATGATTGAAGATAATTTTCGTTGAAAAGAACATAGATGTAGTAATAAAAAGTATTTAGACGTTAAAGTTAGTTTTTAGACAAGAGAGTAATATATTTAAGAATGATTGATAAGGTGAGATATACTCTTTTATTGAATCTCCTTATATAGAACTCATAAGATAATAATAATTCAAAAGATAAGATAATACGTAACAAAATAATTAAATAAATAAAGTGTTTTTAATTGATTTAGATCGCGTAGGTACATAACTCATCTAAATTCGAAAGTTGAGTTCCTTTAGAAATAAGGCCTAAATAAATTTAAGGTTGAGTTGATCATCTTATCATGTAGACGAGTAGTATTTAATTTGAATATATGTATCCTATTAACTATTATTTGGTTAGGCAGAGGTATATTTGTGACATTTATTCAATAGAACTGTCGCCGCCGTCAGAAGAGGCGGTCGGAGCGACGCGATGGTTTTTAATTGACTCGTGTTTTCTTTGAAAGAAACGGTTCAATGCCTTTAGGTCGTCCGATAACGGGGCTAGACCTAAGGGCGAGGTTTTCGAATAGGTTCGAGGAGTCGCCATCAGTGTTTTAACCTTAAACCCTGAAAAAGGTAAAAAGAGAAAAAGGCAGTGGTTTTAGAAAAAACCAACTTTGGCCATTACAACTAGAGTCGGGTAAGGGAATTAGTTACGCATGGGAAAGGTGTTAGCACCCCCACAACGCCCCTTTCGGGTTCCCTATGATGGACTAACTTAGAAAATAAATACTTAAAGAAATTACAATTTTACCTTATTATTTGATCTACTTGCAGAATTTAAATATCTACATGGCTCTACTATCTAATGCACACAAAGAAAGCGATAAAGAAAGCAGTAAAAGAGACAAAGAATAGAGAAGAAACCTCCGAAGCGAGCTTTATATTCACTCTTCTAAAACGTGAGGATGCTTTTTGGCAGTCCCCGCACTCTACAAGCACGCTCCTCTCCGCAAAACAAAGAAAAGTCACTCAACCGAGAGCCGGATGCCTCAAAGAGAGACCTCCTTAATCGGTTTCAACCTTAATGGAAACCGGAAAGCTCCCTCGAACCCCGGAATAATGCTCAGGGTCACTCTCAAGTGCCAGAAAGCTCCCAAGAGAGTGGAGGAGTGCTAAGGTGTGAAAATTCGGAGGAATGAGACCCCTATTTATAGGGATTCGGGCCTGGAAAAGGCGGACGGCCGTCTGGACAAAGCGGACGGCCGTCCAGGGCAAAAAGTGGCCATGGACGGCCGTCCAAGCTAAGTGGACGGCCGTCCATGGCCTTAAAGTGGCCGTGGACGGCCGTCTGCTTGTCATGGACGGCCGTCTGCCTGCTCTGGACGACCATCCGCCTGTTCTGGACGGCCATCTGCTGCTTCTGGCGGATTTCCCGATTTTTAATGCCTCTAAAAACCCTTCTTATCCTAAATGGAACCTAGAACAATCTACTAGGGACTTGATAAAGTCTTAACCATCTTCGGAATGGGCGATCTTCGGCTTTATTAGGAGTCCGGGCAAGATTTGGGGTCTACAAGAACGTATTTATTTATCATGCAAAGATATTGGGTCGAAAATTTTACAAAAATAAGAGAAGCTTGAAAGGGCTCTCATTAGCTCTCAAGCTCAAGAAGATCGTCATGTGAAGACTAGAAGTTTGTTAATCTAAAAAATGATTTATATTTGTCATGTGCATGTATCATGATTAAGAAGTTATAAATCGTCTCATTCATAAGTTGTGTAGTTGTTAGTAAACTATGCAAATGTTGACTCTTAAATAGGATTAGAGTTTTATTATACAGATTTTGATAACTTATTTACCCGAATAAGATATGTATACTCATGTGACTCCAAGTAAGGTAGATGTAAGTTTTGATAACTCATATACTTGTGTAAGACATATATAACTCGTGTGACCTCGAGTACGATAAATGCAAATTTTGATAACTCGTATACATGAATAAGGTATGTATAACTCGTGTGATTTCAAACAAGGTAAATGTAAGTTTTGATAACTCGTATACCGAAGAAAGGTATGCATAACTCATGTGACTCTAAGTAAAGCATGTATAACTCATGTGATCCTGAGTAAGGTAGATGTTAATTTTGATAATTCATATATTTGAGTAAGGTATGTATTACTCATGTGATCTCGATTAAGTTAAATGCAAGTTTTGATAACTTGTATATTAAAGTAAGGTATATATAACTCGTGTGACCCTGAGTAAGGTATGTGTAACTCGTGTGACCCTAAATAAGGTAGATGCAACTTTTGATAACTCATATATATGAGTAAGGTATGTATAACTTATGTGACCGCGAGTAAAGTACAATTTTTATGCTGTTGTGACCTCAAGTAAGGTATAAATTTTATACCCATGTGACCCTGAATAAGGTATAGTGTATATAAGTTTTACAACTTTGAGTCATTATGAATGAAGTGTGTAAGAGAACTAGATCGGATGAGTTGCTTAATTATATCTTTAACTCGTTGGCACTAGTCGATAGTATGCATGTAATTCTAATGAAAAAGGATAGTAATTGGTGGTATCAATATGAGCCGAAGATGGTAGAGGTGGTGATGCACACACCAATTCAAGTTTGAAAGCCTCTTCTAGGGTGTGTAATGTTCATACTTAGTTGTCCTAGATTTTTTTGGAGATTGGGCCAAGTAAGTATAAAGAGATGCGTCTTTCCTATTTTTAAATCTGACATAATTGTCCTCTATGTGAATATAATTAGTTGCTCGAGCGTGTAACTCATCAAGGGATCTTAGTGGAAAAACAAAACAATTATCAATCAAATATTCGAGTTATAAAGCGATATGTATTATGTGTAAGACAATAACAATGTGCAAATTCAGTATAAAATTTGATATTTTGGTGAATAGTTTCATGAAACTGTGGAAGGATTCACTCTCACTCTATTTCACATTTTCTAAAGCCACTGAAGTGGCTTCATGCATATTACTATTTGTAAACCTAATTCAGAACCTTTTTGCTAAGGTGTAGTATGAATTAATAGAGTTATATGATAAAGAATTGTACCATCGTAAAACTGGTCATCGCAACGTGGTGGCGAAGACTTAACATAAGATTGATCCGCTATTAGTATAAAAATTTACCTGCGTTTTGTACATTGTTAAATGTTCTTTTTGATCTGTCAAGTCATTGTATTTCTTTAACATGAGTGGTTCCTAGTTAGTTAGAAAAATGGTTACTATGATTCTTGGAATGGGTGACCGCTATCTTTTGTCATGAATTTTATTCATCTTATATGCTGGAGTGTCTAGGTTGAAGTTAAGGTGGGGTTTTTGCCGTAGATTCTCTCGAAGGTGAGAGTTGACTAAGTACTTCGTTAGTTGCTTGCGACTAACATTCTCCCTTAAATGACTTCTTCTCACTTGACTTAGTGGTTTGACATTTTGTTCAAAAAGGTTTTTCGACCTATGTTTGGGTTGACTTTTGACTTTCTCTGAGTTTCGAATCATTAAGTGTGTTTTAATGGTTGGTGCTAATGACAATTAGATTCGTGTTTGACCCGATGTTGCAGTATCTTCCAACTGCATGTCCGATCTACTTGTCCGAGGCCATTTATGAACACCTTTAACTTATTTTGTAAAGTTTGGAGAGTCTGATGTTATTTTTGGACTAACTCTAAGTCTTCTACTGATTTTTGTTAGATTTATAACAGTTTAGCGTTGTTTTGCTCTTACATATTCTTTATCTCCTCCTGATTTCTTTGTTGACATCATCCATATATTTTCTGAGGTTGTTCTGGTACGCTCATGAGTCTTATATTGCTTGGGATTCGAGGTCAATGATAGTTTATCTACACCCTCTTCTCTTAACCCATCGATACGCCTTTTAAGAACAAAATCATGATGGACGAGAGTTCCAAAACAGACAATACCTCAAACATGAAAATTTACCATAACGATGTTATCACATCGTACATGAGGTTGGGACACTTTTGTTCATAGATGAAATATTGAAGTCCCCCGTAGGGTCAAGAGTCAAGTCTCGCTCCACTCCTACCTCTTAGTCCTCAACTGGGGGCTATGTTCGGATACACTCATGAGTCTCATATTGCTTAGGAGTCAAGGCAAGGGTAGTATATATATATATATATATATATATATATATATATATATATATATATATATATATATATATATATATATATATATATATATATATCAACTCACCAAGATACCTTTAAATGACAAAACTGTCACAGACGAAAGCTTCAAAGTGAATAATACCTCGGACACAAAAATTGACCCTAACGATGTTATCATAACGAACATGAGACTAAGACATTTTTGTTCCTAAACGAAACAGATGAATAAATTTATATTGTCGCCGCCGTAAAAAAAAGGCGGTCGGAGCGACGCGATGGTTCTGACTTTTTCATTTTTCGCGTTTTTATGGGTGATGTTACAACGCCTTTAGGTTGTCCGATAACGGGGCTGAACCGAAGGGCGAGGTTTTCGAAAGGGTGTTCTTAAATCGTCCGATAACTGGGCTGGCCTAAGAACAAATTTGAAAGGGTTCTGATGGGGTCGTCACCGATGTTTTTACCGGAAACATCGAAAAAGGGGAGAAAAGACATTGGTTTTCGAAAACCAACTTTGATCGTTAAAACCAGAGTTGGCTAAGGGAGTTAGTTACGTGTAAGGGAAGTGTTAGTTCCCTTACGACGTCCCTTTCGGGTTCCCTATGATAGGCCAGTTATTTTATAGATAAACTTTCGAAAAGACGCTTTTACCCTTTTATTTGCGGAATTAAAATAATGACTACATGGCCCTAATGTCTATTATGTAATTTAATAATAAAAATAAAGATAGTAAAAGGGAGGGAGAGAGTGAAGAAACCTCTGAAGCAAGCTTTTTGATTAATTCTCTTAAAGATAAGATGCGTTTTGGCAGCCCTTCGCTCTTACAACGTCGAAAATCTCTCAAAAACGCTATAAAAAGCTCTCTAAGACACTCAGAAACTTCGGAAATGCTTCGGAGGGACTCTAGGAGGAGAATTTGAAGAAAGTATAGAAGGGAAAGTGGAAGAACTGTGTGAAATGAGGGGGGAATCACTCACTATTTATAGGGATTCGCGCATGTCAGGTCGAGACGACCATCTCATCATTCGGGACAGCGGTCTCGACTTGCAAAAGTGGCGAGACGGCTGTCTCGTTTGGCGAGACGGCAGTATCGACTTTTCAAGTGACGAGAAGGCCTTCTCGCCAAACGGGAGGGGGGTCTCGCCATTGGCAAGTGGTGAGACGGCCGTCTCGACTTGCATCAATGGCGAGATGACGATCCCGAAAAGCGAGATGGCGGTCTCGATTCCTGACGGCGAAAATCCTTATTTTTGTATAAAAAATCCTTCCTACTCTAACATGGGGCCTAATAGTCTCTCTTAGTGACTTTTTAGGCTTCGTCCATCTTCGAATAGTAGGTCTTCTGCTCTTATTTTGAGGTCGGACAAGATTTGAGGTCTACATATATTAATTATATTATAATATTTATTGTTGATGAATAAATTCGTATTGATAAAAAATAAAATCTTACTACTTATATTTAATAAAAAATAAATTTATTATTTAAAATATTAAAATATATGTATATAATCATATGAGTAAACTAATCTTAATTGTATTATTATTGTTCCGACATATTTATCTTGAAATGTCATCCGCTCCCTTATTGACATAAGCATTATAGTTAAGTTCACAATACAATATACATTATTATTTTATATATATAGATTGATACATCATATATAACAAACAAAATTAAATATCTTACAAATAAAGATTAGTAATATCGTAATTATATATAAAGTTTAAGAAAATAAAATCGTCATAATTTAATTTATTAAGAAAAATTATAACTTTTTTTTAAATAATGATCTTCAAACCCATATTTAAATTTGGAAGTCTATTGCATAGAGAAGATATTAACACTGTCCCAGAATAGTTACCCTTGACTAAATGTACAAAAGTAATATCATTATAAAAAAATATTTTCCCTTAAACATCAAACCAAGAAATAAAGAAAAAAGAAACTACAAAGATAAAAATATTTTAGAAAATTATCTTTTTAACCCGACAAATATTGATCTTATTCCTGTGTATTTTCATTCACGATGGAAGATCAAGGTTATGCATTCCTTGGAAAAATTTATATATGTTGGATTACAGCTACCTTATATTTTGCTTTTTAAAAGAGGATTATATATATATAGAGAGAGAGAGAGAGAAAAAGCGTGACAAAATTTAAAACTCTGCAAATAACCGTTTACAAATCGTTACGAAAAAAATTAAACAGTTAAGACTGTGCATATGATCTAATCGGATATACTTGCTAAGTTTGATGAAAGAAATTATTAAACGAACATAAGATAATGTGAACGATTATATATATATATATATGCTCCAACCAATTCATTTTATCTTTTTCTAAGAAAATAACTTTATTTTAGGTAAATTAGGCATTAAATTTTATTTATTAAGGATTCCTAAATCTTATTTATGGACAACAATGTTCACATTATTACTACCAAATGCAGGAGACCTCACTCAGATTAATCCAGAATAGAAACGTTCAACAATCATAAATAAAACAAATCTATGCCAAAGAATAAACAAGATCAATATTGGTGAAGCCAGGGATTGATCAACAATTTAGTGATGTAACCATCGATTCATTTATCCCAAAATCACGAATCAGCTTAATGGATCACAAATACAGTCTGGTCTAGATACAATTATGACTTTACAAATAGCAAAAAATCAGACAGAATCAAACTGAACTCATAATCAAATCCTGCAACAAGCATATGGCAAACAAAAACAATCCGCTAATTTCAAACCCACTCCACTAACTCTTGCAACCCAAAACATAATCAAAATATTAATTAACCCCACCATCTCAACAAAGAGAAAAAAGGAGAACAGATGCGAGGTGGGAGAGTGTGGCTCACAGAGGGCGACTCTGTCGAGGCCGAGACCTAAGTGGTTTCGGGGGGAGGGGCGGTCCTACGATGGAGGCGAGGGCTCACGGGAGGCGTGAAGGTGGCCGCGCTGGGATTGAAATTGAGGTCCACGGGAGTGAGTTTTGGGGTGTTGGTCAGAGCGACGGCTCATGGAGGCGTGGGGAGAGGGAGGAAAGGCGGCCTGCAGAGGTGATCGGTGCCAAGGTAGATAGCGAGGTGTGATTCGCGGCTGAAGGCACGGATTAGGGCTGGTGGATGAAAGGAAAAGGGGTTTTGGGTAGCCGGGTGCAACCAGGGTGGCAAGAGGTGGCTTGGCGAGGGGTGAGGCGCGGTGATAATGGGAGCTGCTGGGCGAGGCTACGGTGGTGATAGGGGGTAAGGGTAGAGATGATGGAGATGGCAGGGTGGAGGTGGTGGCTTATGTTTACGCAGTGTCTGTGATGGCTATTTTGGGAAAAAAATGTGGCTTGGTGGCGGTGCTGGTAAGGAGAAATGGCAGGTGAAAATAATATGGGAAGGAATGGATACTTACGAGGGCCGATATTTTGATTGGTTTAATATTATTATTTATAAAAAATATTAATATTATATTTATAAAATAATAATTTAAAATCAAATTAATTAAAAATCATTATTTTATTAATAAATGAAGTTATTTAACGAAGTATTATTGATATTGAATTATAATTATTTATTTTCTATTTGTGTATATACTGTACTAAGGTCACAACTACATTGGCCTCCTACACATATACATATTTTAAATTTTTTTATGATTTATTTTATTCAACAAATTTAGATGTTTCACTTGAATAACCACTTGTTATTTGAGTGAAATATTATCTGTAATACCTTAAAACTTTTCATGTAATAATTTATAAATATAATATATTAAATTATAATATATATTGAGTAATTTAAATATATTTATAATAAAAGACTCATTTATTAAAAATATATTATTATTAAAAATAAATAAATATTTATTGAAAATAATTATTATTGTTTAAAAATAAAAAATTCTTATTTTTTAATATATATATATATATATATATAATTATTAAAAAATAACTTATCTAGAATTATATATATATATATATAAAATAAAATCAAAATTAGATGCATTTAATGAATAATTAAAATAAAAAATGAAAAATATAAGTATAAAAGGATTAGTCACGGAACAAAAAATGGTAGTGAGGAATAAAAGAGAAATAGAGATGAAGAAAGACAGGAGAGGGACGAAGAAGAAAGAGATAGAAAGAGAAATAGAGTAAAGAAGAAGAAAGAGAACTAAAGAATAAGAAAAATATAAATAATCTTAATAAAATTTTAGTACTTGTAATTTTTAAATAAGAAAATAAAATATTTATTATTATATTTATTTTATATTTAATGATAAAATAACGTGTCTTTAATTTTATTTTATTTATTTTTTTATATTTATTTAATTTTTAATTATATATTGGTCCTATTTTATTTATTTTTAATTTTATATTAATCTTATATTATATTTATTTATTTTATTTACACACTCATCTTATTATATTTATTTATCTTTAATTTTATTATATTTATTTATTTATTTTTAATTATACACTAATCTCGTTATATTTATTTATTTATTTTTAGTTACATAAGAATTCTTTTTAATATTTATATTTATCTCTAATTATACACGGATCTTCTTTAGTATTTATATTTATCTTCAGTTACGCATTTGTTCTTGTTTATTAATATTTATTTATATTATTTAATTGCTTAAATTCTCTTAAAAATAATATTTTATTTATGAAGATTTGATGAAATTATACTAAAGGTTAAATTTTGGGATTGAAATAAGTAAATATCACTTAAAGAATTATTAATTTTGAACTCATTTATCTTGATTAGTCACTAAAAAAAATCAATTTTAAATCTTCATAAAATAAAATAAATAAAATATGATAATAAAGTTAAAAAATTGATCTATATATCATTTTAATATTATATTATTTTACATGATAATAATTTCCGCTTCCCTATTATTATCTCTTGTGAATGTTACCACTAACATATCAACTTAAAAAGATGGAAGCGTAAGTTGAAAGATCAACCACTTTAAAAAAAAAAAGTTTGTTAATTTTAATAATTATTTATGATATGAAAATAATGTAAACTTTTAAAAATATATAAACATTTATCTCATATCTTATTTTTGTTATTATTTAACAAAAATATAATAATCTTTTAAAATATAATTAAATTAACAATTTGACAAAAGAGACGTACATTTTCCATATTCAACAAGTTGATTCTACATCTTTCTTACTTAATCTTATGTTGATTTATCAATACAACCACCTCTCTTGATCAACATCTCTTTGCTTGTGTGATTAATATACAAAATCAAATACTATTTTTATGCTTATATTTCTCTTCAACAAAATACAAGTCATATCTATTTAATCTTTTTTACAAGTATTCCCACTTCAATGACACTTTATACTTGAGAAAAAAAATAAAGTTACATCAATTTTCTCTTTTATGAATATATTTTAGTTGAGCAACATAACTTTTGTTTAAGTACTTTTTTTTTTAACGATTAATTATCATTTAGTTAACCTTTTTTACTATTTGACCACTTGTTTACATTTTATATTATAATATTGAATCATTGTATTGATTATTTTTATTATTCAATTAATTAACATATTTAATATTTTTAATAAATGAACGAATCACAAATAATTTATTTTTATTTTAATATACCATGAAAAATAATTCTTTTAATATTTTTTAGATATTACTTAATTTTATATATGAAATACTAATTTTATACTTATATTAGAAATAAAATTATTTTGTACCTGTTGAATATAGAGGAAATATGGTTTGGAATTAATCTCTCTGTATATAAATCATACATAGGGTGGTCTATTTATAGTAGAGAGATACAACTAAAAGAAGTAATCGAAAGTAACAGAATAAACGAAGATATTGTTTGATATTGTGGTTACCAATATCTAACAATATCTTAACAATATCAAATAATATCTAAACAATATCTAACACTCCCCCTCAAGCTGGAACATACAAATCGTATGTGCCAAGCTTGTTACAAATATAATCAATTCTAGGACCCCGTAAAGATTTAGTAAATATATATGCTAACTTATCATTTGAGTTAACAAACTCAGTCTTGATATCTCTAGACATAATCTTTTCTCGAATAAAATGACAGTCAATCTCAATGTGTTTGGTCCTCTCATGAAAGACAGGATTAGAACTAATATGAAGAGCATCCTGATTGTCACACACAAGTGTCATTTGAGTGACATCTCCAAATTGTAACTCTCTAAGCAATTGCTTGAGCCAAACAAGTTCACAGGAAGCTGAGGTCATAGCTCTATATTCTGCTTCTGCACTGGATCTTGCCACAACATTTTGTTTCTTACTTTTCCATGAGATCAAGTTACCACCAATGGAGACACAATATCCAGATGTAGATCTTCTATCCGAATGAGATCATGCCCAATCAGCATCTGAGTAGCAAACAATTCTTGTATGGTTATTAGAACCATATAACAATCCTTTTCCAGGAGATCCTTTAATATACTTCAAGATACGAATGACTCGCATTCCAATGATCTTCACATGGTGAATTAAGAAATTGACTTACCACACTGACTGCAAAGGAAATGTCAGGACGAGTAACTGTAAGATAATTCAATTTTCTAACCAATCTTCTATACTTCTCAGGATCAGATATAGGCTCTCCCTGATTTGGTAGAAGTTTAGTATTGGGATCCATGGGTGTATCAACAAACTTTGAACTCATCAACCCAGTTTCCTCCAAAATATCTATGACATACTTCCTCTGAGATATAATAATACCATCATTGGACTGTGCCACCTCAATACCCAAGAAATATCTAAGTTTGCCAAGATCTTTGGTCTGAACATGGTGACAGAGATATTATTTCAACTGAGAGATGTCATAGTTGTCACTACCTGTAAGAACGATGTCATCAACATATACTATCAAGTAAACACATCCAGCACTCGAGTGTCGATAAAAGACAGAATGATCTGCTTCACACCGAGTCATACCAAATTGTTGAACAACCTTGCTAAACTTTCCAAACCAAGCCCTAGGAGACTGTTTTAGGGCATATAGGGATTTGCGAAGACGACATACCATCCCAGAAGACTCCCCCTGAGCAACAAACTCAGGAGGTTGCTCCATATATATTTCTTCTTGCAAATCACCATTGAGGAAATCATTTTTAACATCCAGTTGATAAAGAGGCAATTCTTGAAGAGCAGCCATGTCGATAAATAAATGAACAAAAGCCATCTTTGCAACAGGAGAAAAGGTATCTCCATAATCCAACCAAAAAATTTGAGTATAACCTTTGGCCACAAGACGAGCTTTGAGGCGATCAATAGTACTATCAGGTCCAACTTTGATAGCAAACACCCACCTGCAACCAACAACAGATTTCCCAGACGGTAATGGGACCAATTCCCAAGTTCCACTATTATGAAGAGCACTTAGTTCATCTAACATGACCTAACGCCAACCAGGATGGGTTAAAGCTTCACAGACAATTTTTGGAATGGTCACAAAAGAAATAGAGGAAAGACATGTATAAAAAGGTAATGACATTCGATGATAACTCAAAGCAATATAATGGGGAGAGGGATTACGTGTAGAACGAATACCTTTTCGGAGGGCAATGGGAAGGTCAGACTCATGTGTCAGATCCGGAGGAGACAAGGTAGTTGGCACTTGAGTGGAGTCACATGGTAGTGGTTGTGATTGGTTTCGAGAACTATAAATCTGAAGAGACAGTGGAGAAGAAGCTGACTGCGGAGCATGAACTAATGGTGAAGAAGACACAATTAGAAGGTCACAAACAATAGGAACATTAAATGTATTAGGAGTGTTGACAAGATTGGATGGAGACAAAGGTGAAGATTGACTTTTAAAATAAAGAGACAATTCATCAAAGGTGACATCTTTTGACACAAAATAACGGTTAAGAGAAGGAGAAAAACATTTGTATCCTTTTTGTGATCTTGTAAACCCTAAGAAAACACATTTATGTGATCTAGGAGAAAGCTTGTCAAGACCATAACTGAAATTATGAACAAAACATGTAGACCCAAAAACTCTCAGAGGTAAAGGATGAAGTGGTTCATGAGGGAATAAAATGGAATGAGGTATTTTATTATCTAAAACCGAAGAAGGCATGCGATTAATGAGATAACATGCAGTAAGAAGAGCATCACCCCAAAAATGTTGAGGAACATCTCTATGAATTAAAAGTGTGCGAGTTGTTTTAATAAGATATCTATTTTTACGTTCAGCTACACCATTTTGTTGAGGTGTATAAACACAAGAAGTTTGATGCAAAATATCGTGAAAAGCCATGAATTGTTTAAAAGAATGAGAAAGATATTCACGGCCATTATCACTACGCAAAACTCTAATAGAAACACCGAACTGAGTTTGAAT